TTGACTCAAGAAAAAGTGAAATTTTCTATTACAGTGATTGCCAACTATATCATGCCAAGTGGATGTAGAAGAGTACGGACGGAGTCAAGTGAAAAGAATTCTAGGACTTAAAAGTAAGCTATTCATGTAGTTATTTCTCCAAGTTACTTTCTTTCCCTCCATCCCACTTCATTCAATAACTACTTATTTCTCCCTTCCCTTCCTTTCCCTTCCCTTCTACCATTTTGGACACACTATCTATCTATCTATCTATCTATCTATCTATCTATCTATCTATCTATCTATCTATCTATCTATCTATCTATCTATCTATCTATCTATCTATCTATCTATCTATCTATCTATCTATCTATCGATAAGATCCTGCGGCACTGGGGCAGAGCTGGAGAGGCTGGCATTAAGTGGGCTTTTTGTTTGGAGAGGGCACTAAGGCACAGGGCTGGGCTTTCCCATGTCATCCATTCCTTGGATGATTTTTTATTTTGTGGGAATCCTGGATCTGGAAAGTACAAGTTCCTTATGAGAACCTTTCAGTTCCTCACAAGGGACCTATGTGTTCTCTTGGCAGAGGAGAAGGATAAGAGTGTGAAAAGAGTAGAAATATTACTTGCATATCCAGGGGATTTTTCTTATTGTTGTGGTTCATTCATTGACTTTTCATCCATATTTATAAATTTCTTTCATCCAGAGGTGTGGTGAAATTTGTGTATATAAGTTATAAAATACAGAGTGTAATAGTCGATAGAATCAGTATATGAATCATTATAAAATAATTGCTAGACTGAAGAACACCAGGAAGGCTCCAAAAATAGGTGAATATGTTTGATTGCTCACCTCAAGCTTTCTCGGGACAATACTCCCAACTCAGCCACAAGCCATCAAGGTTCTCATGTGACGTGCTTCAGAATTGTGTAAGAATTTGTATACGTACTACTAGTTAAACCCTAATCCTTTGTTAATAACACATTATTATATTTATTACATTTACACATTTCTAAATGTAAATTAACCCCACCATACCCTATATATATAGGGTATGGTGGGGTTAATTTACATTTAGAAATGTGTAAATGTAATAAATATAATAATGTGTTATTAACAAAGGATTAGGGTTTAACTAGTAGTACGTATACAAATTCTTACACAATTCTGAAGCACGTCACATGAGAACCTTGATGGCTTGTGGCTGAGTTGGGAGTATTGTCCCGAGAAAGCTTGAGGTGAGCAATCAAACATATTCACCTATTTTTGGAGCCTTCCTGGTGTTCTTCAGTCTAGCAATTATTTTATAATGATTCATATACTGATTCTATCGACTATTACACTCTGTATTTTATAACTTATATACACAAATTTCACCACACCTCTGGATGAAAGAAATTTATAAATATGGATGAAAAGTCAATGAATGAACCACAACAATAAGAAAAATCCCCTGGATATGCAAGTAATATTTCTACTCTTTTCACACTCTTATCCTTCTCCTCTGCCAAGAGAACACATAGGTCCCTTGTGAGGAACTGAAAGGTTCTCATAAGGAACTTGTACTTTCCAGATCCAGGATTCCCACAAAATAAAAAATCATCCAAGGAATGGATGACATGGGAAAGCCCAGCCCTGTGCCTTAGTGCCCTCTCCAAACAAAAAGCCCACTTAATGCCAGCCTCTCCAGCTCTGCCCCAGTGCCGCAGGATCTTATCATCCAAATCGCAGTATCAAGATGTGTACCGAACAGTACACAGCTCTTGGGGAAGCATGTCATTAACAGATTTGCCAGTGGGGTAAGATAAATGGTGTATAAGATGGAATTCACGGGGTGACTTTTTTGGGACCACTCCCAAAGGGGAAAGGCGTAAAGTTGGCAAAGGAGGTTCTGCAAAAGGTCCAGCTACTCTCTCTTCTGTTATTTCCTTCTGAATCTTTCTCCTAACTACCTCTTTCATACCCTTAACAAATTTTAAATTGGATACCAAAGTGGCACTCCTAACACCTTAAAATGGAATCCTAAAACCAACTTTGAAACCATGCCGTATCTTTGTTGGGGTATTGTAGCAACCAGTCGGCCAGTACTATCAATTTAATTGGACTGGCAGCCTTTTGCAGGATTGACCACTCCTGCTGCAAGCCTCTTTTGCCCACTACTGTCTCTACCTCCCCCCAGCTCCCGGCCGATCTTGGAAACGTGACGTGGCACTATGGTTGCCCCAACATAGGGAATACTGGTGTCGGTATCTGCATGGTTTATGGTTGCAGAAACCTTTTGATTCAAATTCCCAGCAAACCAGGTGGGGTTGAACCCCCTGACCCACTGCAGCATGGGAAGCACGAACTAAATTGGCTTTTTACATCACATGTCCACTATCGAAACGCTCACCCACCAATGGGTGAGATGGAGTCATTAGTTACAGCGACAGCCCAGGATGATGGACATCCCAATGCATCTGGGGGTTTGTGGCCCTGGGTTATTCAACAGGCATTTAGATAATTCAATAGAGAGATAAAGACAGAACTAAGAAATGTTCAGTTTTTTGGTTCTACAACTCCCAGAATTCTAAAGTCACCATGACGTCTGGAAATAGGTTACAAAAGGTCACAATAACTGTTACTAGTACTCATTCACAGATTATTTCTCAAAAACATTAGAAAATAGAGAAAGGAGAAAAAAGAGAGGAAGGAAATAATTTCCCTGCACGCCTATATTGCTGGCTTCAGTTGTATTTCTCCCTGAAGGCCAAGCCTTCAGGGAGACACGGTCAATATTAATAAGCCTCCTCCCTGTAATAGTGTGGTGATGATATTTTGTTTTCAGTGTAGATAGGCTTTTCTTGTCTTGGATAGCAGTTCCAAAACACTGGGACACAGTGGAAAATCTTGAATGTTGGCAGCAGAGAGAGGATGAAAAGGTGAATGAAATCTCTGATAGGATTTCCTATATTCTCAGCCAAACAGGCAAAATTACAAGTTTCATCATTTAGATAGATTAGATAGATAGAGAGATAGATAGATAGATAAACAAACTGCAAAATAACTCATATCTGATGAAGTGGGCTGTAGTCCATTGACGTTTATGCCATAATACATTAGTTAATTTTTAAGTTACCACAAAATTTTTGATTAGTTTTGCTGGAATAGACTAGCAGAGCTAGAATTTTGGTGATTATTGAGATCTATTGTTCCCAACCTTGGGTCCTCAGATGTCCTTGGATTGAAACTCCCAGAAGCCTTCACTACTAGCTGTACCGGCCAGGATTTCTGTGAGTTGCAGTCCAGGAACACTTGAGGACCCAAGGTTGGGAAGCACTGGTTAAGATTCAACAGCTACCAAGGCTTAGCTACTTTACAACCTGCGAAGAAAAAGAGTTATTACTCAGTGATGTTCTAGGCCAGTGGTCCCCAACCTTGGGTCCCCAGATGTTCTTGGACTTCAAATCACAGAGATCCTGGCCAGCACAGCTAGTGGGGAAGGCTTCTCTTTTTTTTGGTCAGGATGCTGCAGACACAGACTGTGTAAGAAAGAGAGGAGGGCACATTCATTTCCCAGGGAAGCACTTTCTTAATGAGGAAGCGGGTGGGGAAAATGTCCTGCAGAGGAGCAGGCATCTAATATCGGGTGCTGTCCCAGAGAGATAAACAGGAAACTTTTAACATCTCATTTGTCACTGCAAATGAAAACAGCCAGTCAAAACTGGAAAGCAGAATCTAGAGGCAGGAAACCCAGATTTTCTCTTTAAACCACCAGGCTGGCGACTGAAAACAGACAACACCTAGACAGGGCACAACAATGCTTACATTAATATTTGCCTAGCCTGGCAGAGAAGCTACTGAGTGCTGAAACTAAAACCGTTGTTGAGAGTCCAGTGACAGGCACTCATCCTGTAAGTAATAACTTATCACATTGTTTTGTTTGGTTTTTCCCCTTAAGTGGGCATTACCATCAGATTAGTGTAGGGTGGAGCACACTTTTGCATGTTTGATCCCCCATCCCATGTTGTTGGACTCCAGCTCCCCATTGTCTTTGAGTGTTGGCTATTTGGACCCTGGCTGATAACATAAGCTGTAGACCAAAGTCTGCATCCTGCACCTCTGGCACTGTTTGTACACAATGAGAATGTGCAGTTTTGGAAGATAAGCATGTCTGCATGTAGACAGAGAACTTGCCAGAGGGTGTTATGGAGTGGGGGTCCATAATATTCAGCAACTGGGTTTTATAAATATAGACTAAATATCTGGATCATTGAAAGATCAAAGTAAATCCTAACTGGATGAAATGATTTCAGTGAGATTAAGAAAGTGGCCTTGTATGGTTTTCAATGTGTATCATTGTAAAACAGCTTGCATAAAAGGAGCCATATACAATATAGGTATGAGATGAAGTATCATATTTAGCTAGCTAGCTAGATAGATAGACAGAGTCCCCTTTTATGCAAGCAGTTTCACATTTATTTTCTACGAAGTAAAAATTCAGCTTTAAAAATCTTTTAGTATCATGAAGTCTAAGAATCTTACACAATAACATATTTGTAAGCAGATTAATCCTAAAATGGAAAGCCTTTTAGATCTGGTTTGCATCAAAACCACCGTATCTAAGGGTTGACATCAGCATCATTACAAAAACTGTTGACTTTAACTTCTATGAGTTCCAATCAGATAACCAATGATAAAGAATCCTAGCATTTACAGTTTGGAAAGTAAGAAATAGACAAGGGGCTTTAAAATCAATCCTCAAATCATAGAAGGTCTCATTTTCTATAGCAATATGAAGTTTGATACTCTTCTTGAATATGAAGCAGAATTACTTGGCCCAAAATAAATTATAAATATGAGATATCAATCCCTCTTTAGTTGAAATGTTATTATCATTCTTTAATTTCCCTTCTAAGCTTCACCAGAATTAAGTTCACATGTGTTCCCAGTTCAACATATCATTCCAATAATCATCTGTGTCTTTTCTTCCAGATGTGGAATACATCGTATAAAGGAATGACACTGATTTTAAAAAAATGGATAATACATCCTTTGTCTCTGAGTTTTTACTCCTTGAATTCTCATCAATCCGGGAACTACAGATTCTGCACTTCCTTTTGTTCCTGGTATTGTACCTGACAGTTGTATCTGGAAATCTTCTCATAATCTTGACAGTAGCTTTGGACCACAACCTTCAGACCCCCATGTACTTCTTTCTGATGAACTTGGCCATCCAGGACCTCGGGTCTGTATCAGCCATTTTACCCAAATCCATGGCTAATTCCTTCAGGGATACCAGGCAGATTTCTTATTCTGGATGCGTGGCCCAAGTGTTTGCCTTTGTCTTCTTTGTGGGATCTGACTTCTTTCTTCTCACTGTCATGGCATATGATCGTTATGTTGCCATCTGTCATCCGTTGCAATACGAAATGCTGATGAACAAGCAAACCTGCAAAGCAATGGTTGCTGGTGTTTGGATCACTGGCATTGTCTATGGTGCCTTACATACTGGGGGCACATTCACAGTCCCCTTTTGCTCCAATATTGTGAATCAGTTCTACTGTGAAATCCCACACCTACTAAAGCTCGCCTGTTCTGATTCATTTCTAGTGGAAGTAGTGGTTCTTGTAGTCAGTGCAGTTACAGAGTTAGGTTGCTTTGTCTTCATCGTTGTAACATATCTGTTGATCATTAGCACAATCTTGAAAATTCCCTCTGCCCAGGGAAGGCACAAAGCCTTTTCAACCTGCCTTCCACACCTCACTGTATTTTCTTTATTTATATTCACTGGGTGGTTTGCATATCTAAGGTCTCCTTCTAACACACCATCCAATCTAGATTTGATATTGACTCTCATATACACTTTTATTCCACCCATGATGAATCCAGTGATCTACAGCATAAGAAACAAAGAGATCAAGGTGGCCCTTGAAAAATTAGCAATTTCAGTATGTTCTGTCTTGAAAGCTTATGTTACATCAAGTCTTAGATAGGGTCATATCACCCCATATGAGTCCTCTTGGATTTTAAGATCTTTTGGGAGGCCCTTCTTTCAGTTCCACCACCTTCCCAAGCTTGTTTGATGAGGACATGAGAGAGGGTCTTGTCAGTGGTTGCTCCCAGGCTTTTGAATCTACTTCCTCAAGAAGCCAGGTTGTTCTTCTGTTGCCAGGCAGACCTTCATTTTCAAGCAAGCTTTCAGCAATCAGTGGGTGGCTCTAGGGGATACTCTATCAGGTTTAGATATTTTTAAAATGATTTTTAATCTTAGTTTTAATACTGAGTAATGTTCAATTGTTGTTAATGCAGTTTTCATTTAACGTAATGGATCTAATGTAGAAGTTTATTTGTTGTGACCTGCCTTGGGTCCCCTAGAGCAGTGGTCTCCAACCTTGGGCCTCCAGATGTTCTTGGACTTCAACTCCCAGAAATCCTGGCCAGCAGAAGTGGTGGTAAGTCTTCTAGGAGTTGTAGTCCAAGAACATCTGGAGGCCCAAGGTTGGGGACCATTGCCCTAGAGGAAGAAAGTAAGTTCTCAATGTCCGAAGATTTTCTGAGTGGTGTATCATCATGCAATCAAAACACTTTATGTTTAGGTTTCATTGTTGAATCAAGAGGAAGACATAAGTATTTCAATAAATAACCAAACTCAACAGATTAAGAATGTAAATCTTTATTTGTCTTGAGGGGACTGCTCAATTATTCTCCTTTTGTTCACTGGGTGGTTTGTTGATGCTGTTGAAGAGAACAAAATGTTTTATGATGTTTTCAACAAGAGAACAAAGGAAAGGGGCAATAAATCCACAACTTCAGATGCAGAGATCCGTGTAGGCTCTTGTGTGCCCTGCCAGCCCCCTGTCCAGCAGAGTCATGGTTCCTTGTTAATAACTCCACAGGCTCCTGCTCAGGCACTTGACTCATATCAGTGTTTATTAGACTTACAGCAGCAGTTCTCCCTGCCTAATCTCTCACAATCCCCACAGGGCCAAATTACAGTCTCTAAACTACTTACTAGCCCAGTTAGTTTCACTGGAATTCTCCAAGAGTCCAGGTTCTGGAAGGCAGGATGGGGGAGAGAGTTTAGGTCCAGGACACGTACCTTTTATTGAAGCCTTGGAAAAATGAAAAAAAGAACTCAGTCTCTGCAGCTTGCTTCCCTCGGTCCCCTCCCTCCCTTGGTTCTCCAGGGCTGAAATGGCATGTAGCCTTGTCCAAGAATGGGGCTGGAGTCTCCAGTGGTTGGTTCCTGTCACAAGCCAGTAAACCTGGAGAGGGTAGACAGCTTCTTGCATCCTTTCACACATCCCCTTCTTCCAAGTTAAGTGGTGACCCCTTGGCATCCCAATTTTGCTTTTTTTATCCCCCTTGACCCTGCCTTCTCTAGCTGTCTCTTATTGGGACGGTGCCTCTCCCGCATCTGCATGGACTCCCTCCATCCCGCCTGATCCTGATAAAGCAAAGCAAAAGCAAAGCGTGCTGCTCATATACCACCCCATAGTACTTCAAACACAAGTTAATTATGCAGGATACACATTGCCCGCATTCCAATTTTGCTTTTTTTTATCCCCCTCTGACCCTGCCTTCTCTAGCTGTCTCTTATCAGGATGATGTCTCTCCTGCAACTGCATGGACTCCCTCCAGCCAGCCTGATCCTGATAAGTTACCCCACTGCTGCCCACCTGCTACTGAAGTGCTAGGGCCAGAAGGCTCACTAGAGATGCGTGTTTCCTTCCCCTCACAGCTCCACAAGGTGCTTCTTAAATGGCTTCTACTTATTTCTTTTTAAGTAATCTTCCTTATTAAATTAGGCTAAAAATTAAAAATAGCCCTAAAATCAGAAATGAAGGAGGGAGTGGAAAACATGGGAGGCACAGAAGGCATAGGAAACAACTAACTATAAGCAGGAAAAAAAGTGACAGTCCAGTGTTGCCAGAAATTGCAATATATCTATAAAATCCAAAATTACACTATTGAGAAAAACTGGATTGGGCAACATTTTAAATCACAGCAGGGCCTGATGACATTTTTTTTAAACTGGAATCACTGGAGATTCAATTCAGTTTTTGCCAGTAGTGTAGTTCTCGACCGAGTTACACCTAATCAAGGCAGCATAATATGACAAGTGAAGAATTTGGCAATTATTTCATTTGTGCTTTAGATGGTGGAGGGAATTTCCTCTTAGATTCATACACATGCCCAATGATGTACGGTTAAAAAAATATTATGAACTGAAATGTGGAAACTGCTGTTTAGACCCAAGATTCTAATCAATGTTAGAAATATGACATGGATTTCTGATTAGTATAGGAAAGGTTTAGAAGGTGGCAGTCAGGTACAAATGCTTAGATGTTCCCAAAATTGTTTTGAATGTGGATTTAGAGTCAAATTTTCAGGCCTGATTGAAATCTATTTAGTGGCTGAAATCCCGAGGCTTTGTGTAGCAGATCACACTAGCGAAGGCTCACTGAATTAATGAGGATTTGATATACCACTTATTCAGTGTGTCTTCTCTACTGTGACTTGCTACACTAAGTAAGAGGGTTTCAGCCACTGGAGTCAAAGATACCGTTCCTTATCATTTCAGCATGATAACTCGATTTTGCTATAACGGAATCTTTTGCGTAGATAAGATGTTTCTCTTTATACCAAACCATGAATAAAAATGAAATTGAGTGGACATTATGGAGTATATAGATTTATTTTAATTTTATTTATACAGTGCTTATAGTTTGTAGCTGGCTGGATAGCTCAATGGTTTAGATAAAAAAAGGTAAAGCTTCCCCTTGACCATTTTTGTCCAGTCATGTTCGACTCTAGGGGGCGGTGCTCATCCCCGTTTCCAAGCCACAGAGCCAGCATTTTGTCCGAAGACAATCTTCCGTGGTCACATGGCCAGTGCGACTTAGACACGGAATGCTGTTACCTTCCCACCGAGGTGGTCCCTATTAATCTACTCGCATTTGCATGCTTTTGAACCGCTAGGTTGGCGGGAGGTGGGACAAGCGACGGGCGCTCACTCCGTCGCGTGGATTCGATCTTATGACTGCTTGGTCTTCCGACCCTGCAGCACAGGCTTCTGCACTTAGCCCACAGCGCCACCATGTCCCCTCAATGGTTTAGATAACCGGCTGCAAATTTAGAGGTTGGGAGTTTGATTCCTGTGAGTAGAGCTGCATAGCCCTAGGGCTCTTCCAGAAGAAGGGAATAGTAAACCACTTCTCTCAGGAAAATCCTGAAAAAGAGTCACAATGACAAAGAATTTACTTGATGGCATGTTATGATGATGATGATAGTGATGACAATGATGACAACGACCATGATTACAGTATTCAAAGTGCTTAAAATCTTCAAAGATATCTCAAAGAACAGCTGTTTTCTCCTGACTGATAATGAGCTGGGATCTGAAAAAGCAAAGTATTTTGAACCTATTTGGAGACGGATCATTTTTCTAGTTGCTGCCTAAACCAGCTGCAGAACCTTGACTGAAAGGTCATAAAAACTTATTTTCATCACCTTAGCTCTCTGTAGAAGTGCAGTCAGAAAACATAGCCACTGAGACCTCCTTCTTCCCTCAGTAGTAATATCCTGCACCTTTACATTTCAAATAACAGCCATAATTTTGAACCTTTATTTACCTCTCCTTGGTACTACTGCTGCAGTTGCTAATAGCCAAAACATCAAACTTCACGTTAAAAATTTGAAAAATTCAGATATCCTAAATATTCTTGACTTAAAAACACTTAGTGTTATGTTATTTCCACATACTTTCTCACACTGGAAAATCTGGAAAATGGAAATTCATCCTTTATGCCCCTGGCTCATAATTTGAGTAATCTTCTGCTAAATCATGCTGGACTCAAGAGGCCAGGACTTAAGCTGTCCCTAAGGTGGCAGCTCCATATTACTAATTAAGGCAGTCATTTCACTACCATGAGGGAGGGGAAGGTAACAGAACTGGCATAAAATACCATCTCCGGCTGCAAGATGCATGATCGTCCACAAGAACTGAGAAGAAAACACAACAATTTGAGAAATTTGTAAGTTATGCATTTGTATCACTAAAATGACTTGTCGTTTTTTCCTTTGCTTAAACATTCATTATGTGTTTTTTTTTTAAAAGTCTCTTACAGTTGCTCATTCTTATATAAATGTGTTTTAGTTGTATATATGTGTATTGGGTTTGACACATTTTCAACCGAGAAACTGAATTCAGGGGGAAAAAACCACTATAATAAGAAGGAAATGTGGAGGTGGGTGATCTTCCTCGTATTGATTCGAAATATTGCAACAAGCAGGTTTCCCTTATTGGGTAGTATTGTTCATTAATAATAATGAAAGAAGATAGCCACAAATTTATATATGTTGAATTAATACAAGACATCTCACTTATTTAACTGAATCTCAGACTGTTACCCTGCTTCTTTGCACAGATTTGTAATCACCTTCAGTTTTATTTTATCTACACAATTTTTCACATTTCTGTCTTCCTTCAATTCTTTTGTTTTTGTAGTTTAGGTGTTGTCCTTCGGTCCTTTGGAATCTAAATTCCATAGATAATTTAATCCTATTCCAATAGAACAAAAATAAGTTAGCAATATTTGAATTTGGTGGATATAGTTTGATTCTAAGTGGGTATAGTTTGATTCTAAGAAGAATTCCAATATGGGATATTAAAATGCTCTGTAATCCAAATTGAATTGAATTGAATAAATAAAAAGAAGGTTTCTGTCTGCCGAGTTCCATGTACTCCACCCAGAAACACAGAACAAGAAAATAAAACACGGGCTAAAAGTAAACTAAAATGAGATTAAATGA